CCTGGCGGGTTTCGCTTTCTTTTCATTCAGCCCCTCCAAACAAATGCTGCAATACTGCCTTAAACTGGGCCACGGCCGCTTCCCACCTTATAATTTTCAATTCATTATTCACTGTCATCGAAACATAGGCGGTAATGTAGTTGGTTGAGGCACTGTGCTACAAGCCGGAAGGACACGGGATGCATTCCCGATGAGGTCATTGGATCTTTCAATTGACCTAATTCTTCCAGCCGCACTATGGCCCTGGGGTCGACTCAGCCTCTAACAGAAATGAGTACCAGAAATCTTCGTGGGCAAAGGGCGGCCGGCGGGTAAAGGGGCCCATACACGTACGAGTCTGGCTCGCGAGTCCGACTCGGCTCGGGTTCCAATGAGCCAAACTCGTCCGTGTGTGGGTCGCAAAGTTGGAAGTCATCTCATGCGTTTGTGGTGAATTTAATCCGAGCCCGGCTCCCGAATCAAGCTCGCCGAGCCAGACTCATACGTGTATGGACCCCTTAAGGCTGACAACCTCACTGCCATCTGTGAGCCGATTGTCTAGAAAATGTGGGAGCCTCGACGTCTCACAGTCCTATGGATCTCCTGTAACAGAGACAGCTTTACCTTTTTTATCCATCATTCGAAGTTATATATTTTCTACGGCTTGTAGGATTGTACGTAGGTAAGTCAACAAGTAAGTTACAAATGGATACAGAACTTTAACAAATAAAAGTACTGATTTGAAAAATGCTTTTATTCCTCAGCATAATCTCCCTGTAGTTCGAGGCACTTGTCCCATTGTTTCACAAGCCCCTGAAAACAAACAGCATAAAATTCTTTGGGCTGCTGTCAGAACCAGGCGTGTCACACGGCATGGCCTACCTCATAATGCATGACAGGTTATGTTTCCACAAAGTCTGTGCACGATGGGTGCCGCGCATGCTGACCCCACAACACAAAATGCCAACAATGGGTCTGGCATTACAGCATCTCAATCGCTACCATGATGAAGGACACGATATGCTGGCCCGAATTGTCACAGGTGACGAGTCTTGGGTTCACCATTACCAGCCCGAGACAAAGCGTGTGTCAGTGCAGTGGAAACATCGTGCGTCGCCTGCCAAGAAAAAGTTTAAGGTGACAGCATCCTCCAGGAAAGTGATGCTCACAGTCTCCTGGGATCACAAAGGCATACTGCTCACCGCATGCCAGCCTCAAGGACAAACCGTAAATGCCGACCCCTACTGTAACATCCTCAGGAAACTTCGTAAGACCATTCAACGGAAGCATGCAACCCGCCATGCATTGTGAGGTAGGCCATGCCGTGTGAACACGCCTGGTTCCGACAGCAGCCTAAAGTAATTTATGCTGCTGGTTTTCCGGGCTTGTGAAACGATGGGACAAGTGCCTCAATGTACAGGGAGTTTATGTTGAGAAATAAAAGCATGTTTCAAATCAGTACTCTTATTTGTTTAAGTTCTGTATCCATTTGTAACTTACTTGTTGACTTACCCTCGTAGATTAGGGATAAATTGAAAGGATTTGTAAGGAAGCGGTACTTCTCTTGAGAGACAAGAAGGACGGCGTAGTGAATGCCGTAAAGCGCACCAGCTGAACACGTGTGTAGAGCGTTACCGCTACACGAACATGCTCAGTGGAAGCAGTGAAGCCTGTGCTACTGACAGTGTCACCAGCTGAACACATGTGTAGAGCGTTACCGCTACACGAACATGCTCAGTGGAAGCAGTGAAGCCTGGGCTACTGACAGTGTCACCAGCTGAACACATGTGTAGAGCGTTACCGCTACACGAACATGCTCAGTGGAAGCAGTGAAGCCTGGGCTACTGACAGTGTCACCAGCTGAACACATGTGTAGAGCGTTACCGCTACACGAACATGCTCAGTGGAAGCAGTGAAGCCTGGGCTACTGACAGTGTCACCAGCTGAACACATGTGTAGAGCGTTACCGCTACACGAACATGCTCAGTGGAAGCAGTGAAGCCTGGGCTACTGACAGTGTCACCAGCTGAACACATGTGTAGAGCGTTACCGCTACACGAACATGCTCAGTGGAAGCAGTGAAGCCTGGGCTACTGACAGTGTCACCAGCTGAACACATGTGTAGAGCGTTACCGCTACACGAACATGCTCAGTGGAAGCAGTGAAGCCTGGGCTACTGACAGTGTCACCAGCTGAACACATGTGTAGAGCGTTACCGCTACACGAACATGCTCAGTGGAAGCAGTGAAGCCTGGGCTACTGACAGTGTCACCAGCTGAACACATGTGTAGAGCGTTACCGCTACACGAACATGCTCAGTGGAAGCAGTGAAGCCTGGGCTACTGACAGTGTCACCAGCTGAACACATGTGTAGAGCGTTACCGCTACACGAACATGCTCAGTGGAAGCAGTGAAGCCTGGGCTACTGACAGTGTCACCAGCTGAACACATGTGTAGAGCGTTACCGCTACACGAACATGCTCAGTGGAAGCAGTGAAGCCTGGGCTACTGACAGTGTCACCAGCTGAACACATGTGTAGAGCGTTACCGCTACACGAACATGCTCAGTGGAAGCAGTGAAGCCTGGGCTACTGACAGTGTCACCAGCTGAACACATGTGTAGAGCGTTACCGCTACACGAACATGCTCAGTGGAAGCAGTGAAGCCTGGGCTACTGACAGTGTCACCAGCTGAACACATGTGTAGAGCGTTACCGCTACACGAACATGCTCAGTGGAAGCAGTGAAGCCTGGGCTACTGACAGTGTCACCAGCTGAACACATGTGTAGAGCGTTACCGCTACACGAACATGCTCAGTGGAAGCAGTGAAGCCTGGGCTACTGACAGTGTCACCAGCTGAACACATGTGTAGAGCGTTACCGCTACACGAACATGCTCAGTGGAAGCAGTGAAGCCTGGGCTACTGACAGTGTCACCAGCTGAACACATGTGTAGAGCGTTACCGCTACACGAACATGCTCAGTGGAAGCAGTGAAGCCTGGGCTACTGACAGTGTCACCAGCTGAACACATGTGTAGAGCGTTACCGCTACACGAACATGCTCAGTGGAAGCAGTGAAGCCTGGGCTACTGACAGTGTCACCAGCTGAACACATGTGTAGAGCGTTACCGCTACACGAACATGCTCAGTGGAAGCAGTGAAGCCTGGGCTACTGACAGTGTCACCAGCTGAACACATGTGTAGAGCGTTACCGCTACACGAACATGCTCAGTGGAAGCAGTGAAGCCTGGGCTACTGACAGTGTCACCAGCTGAACACATGTGTAGAGCGTTACCGCTACACGAACATGCTCAGTGGAAGCAGTGAAGCCTGGGCTACTGACAGTGTCACCAGCTGAACACATGTGTAGAGCGTTACCGCTACACGAACATGCTCAGTGGAAGCAGTGAAGCCTGGGCTACTGACAGTGTCACCAGCTGAACACATGTGTAGAGCGTTACCGCTACACGAACATGCTCAGTGGAAGCAGTGAAGCCTGGGCTACTGACAGTGTCACCAGCTGAACACATGTGTAGAGCGTTACCGCTACACGAACATGCTCAGTGGAAGCAGTGAAGCCTGGGCTACTGACAGTGTCACCAGCTGAACACATGTGTAGAGCGTTACCGCTACACGAACATGCTCAGTGGAAGCAGTGAAGCCTGGGCTACTGACAGTGTCACCAGCTGAACACATGTGTAGAGCGTTACCGCTACACGAACATGCTCAGTGGAAGCAGTGAAGCCTGGGCTACTGACAGTGTCACCAGCTGAACACATGTGTAGAGCGTTACCGCTACACGAACATGCTCAGTGGAAGCAGTGAAGCCTGGGCTACTGACAGTGTCACCAGCTGAACACATGTGTAGAGCGTTACCGCTACACGAACATGCTCAGTGGAAGCAGTGAAGCCTGGGCTACTGACAGTGTCACCAGCTGAACACATGTGTAGAGCGTTACCGCTACACGAACATGCTCAGTGGAAGCAGTGAAGCCTGGGCTACTGACAGTGTCACCAGCTGAACACATGTGTAGAGCGTTACCGCTACACGAACATGCTCAGTGGAAGCAGTGAAGCCTGGGCTACTGACAGTGTCACCAGCTGAACAAGGAGGTTTCCCGTGAACGCAAGTCTCTTGTGCCGAACTCTGCACCTCACTCAGAACCTCGGTTCGAGCTTACAAAATGAGCCAAATGAAGGAAATTGGGCATGAGAAGAGGAGGACGCGGGACACACCACTCGTTCGCGAAGGGGAACGCCTCCATCATAAACAGATTTTGGCAGATGTGCGCCTCCATACAGTTTAACTAAGATCTATTTCCACGTGCCTCTCTTCTCTGCGCGACCCATTAGCGTGTATATATTAACGTCAACTCGAAGTCTCGTTTAGTTCGCTAAATTGCGAGACTTTTTTTAAGCTCGTCATCTTCCTCCTGGCAGACGTCGCGCCCAGCTAATGTTAGAACGTCATTAAGCGTCCTCATTTGTCTCGGTAAGGGTTGCAGAGACGGTAATGTGAGTAGGGGAGGTTTCCCTTTCATTGCGTCTAATCACCCACGATTGGCTTCATCCTTTAAATTGTTTCATCAATTTGTTTTTTGAATAACAGGAACCAAGTATTCATAGCAAGTGCCACCAGTGGAACCTGTCCTAGGAACAATTCAATCCAGTTCACTTCCTGAAAAGGACTACATTTCCACAACATCAATTTTAATATTGTCACGTGTCCGGGGTTCCGGACTAGACGAAGCTATTAATTGGACAACTTTTACGTCACAACTACAATCACTATGAAATAGCGTCTTCCAGACGACGCTACCTCACTAGTCCGTCGTCTATCGCGTTTCGTCTTCTGGTTTCTTCTGCTCCCAGCTCTGCTCCGTTCGCCACGGATCTCACCTCTGATCTCATGTCTTCTACAATCGGACGGAATAGAAGACACTTTCTGCAAGGGTTTCGTTTCCATAGCGGCTGTCTGAATTGTCTCGGGAACGTGTTTTCATCTTTAGGTAACACGTTGATTTTTATCTCTGGCTATTGGTTGTTGCGGGGAAAATGCATATTGAGCCGTTGCCCGGCAATGGACGTCTCTGTATGCGCTCTCTCGGAAACGTGTTTTAACAACGTCAAGGCCACAGTGCGGCTGGAAGGATTGGGTAAATTCGGGAATCGAACCCACGACCCTGCGGCTTGTAGAATGAGTTACAGTAGTCAAGGCATTCAGAAGTGACAGACATTTCTCACCACTTGGTCATGTTTCGTAACAGATGTCACCTTGCAACAGCTGGAGCTGAAAAAACGCCTATGTCGCGAGATGTTGCAGCTGCTGGAGACGTTGGGGGCAGGACAGTGCAGGATGAGAGGTATGTACAGCCCCCCCCCCTCCTCGGGGTTACGCAGAACTAGATTTTAAGTAAAACCCCCCAGAAAATAAATGTAAGTACTCTGCTACGCTCATTTAAGTATGTATCGTTTTTAACAGCCTACGCCCCAGTACGAAATAAGGTGACCTGGCCGCGTCCCAGGTTTAAATAACGTAATTAGCACCTGCAAAGGATCACTAAGGACCTCGCCTTAGCCCCGGCTATCATATCCTTAATAAGAGGTGTGATATTCAGTTTCAAACAGTGTCTTTCTTTAGGCGGCACGCGATGCCAAGCTCAGTGGATTCATGTTTTTAAAAAATAAAAATTCGTCATTAAAGATAAATTGAATGTTTTCTTGGAGAACGATCACATATCGATCTATTGGAACTCCGATCGTACCATATTCATGAAAACTGAATATTCTCCCCCCACCAAAAACAAATTTGAGTTACCCGCTTGAGTAGGTTAATCTTTTTTCGCCCCTCCCCACACACAAAGTCACTGAATATAAATATTGACAAGTTACTGCATGAAGTTTCCAGTTCTCTAGGTCTGACATACACTGCCAGGCTCACCGTTTAAAACGATTATTGTTGTGTTGTTCTGTTGGTAGGCCTGCTGCTTTACGAACTGCACTGTACTTTAATGGAACTGCGACAGAGGCGTCTTGAGAATTTGGGAAGCAAGAACACATGTGGAGCCGAACTGCGGGTGAGGCAGACACTACAGACAACAAACAGGATGCAAATCCTTTGTGTCCAGTCAGAAGGAGAAGTATTTTCTGACAATATCGAATGTATTATTTAGTTCTTTTCGTTGTAAAGAAAGGACTGTTTTATATTTACTACAAAGGACCTTTCTTTCCTAAGAACCAGCATTTGAAAGAAAGAATTTGCCCTATATCCGGGCTGAAACGGTACCTTGTTCTGTTTCGAGAACGCCTATTGGTTTGCGATATCGTCATGTAATGACGCAGACTATTACATCATCATTAGAGTGACCCCGGAATCTTTTTCAACATCCAATACCCGAACCAAAGTCTCCATGCCGAAGATCAAAACACACGGGAATTTACTTCTGTAATGATGCCTGCCCCAGGTGTCACGTACCTTCACAGATGTTTCAGACAGAGTTTAAGTAGGGGCTAGCAATATACACACTGTACATCCCTAACCGATTTATAAACACAAATAAATGAAATTGTTAAAACACCGAACATGCAAATGACTGTGCTTGGTTTTCGTTACAAGCAAGGTTACCTGAGGTGGCGGTTGAATGGACAGAATTCTGATGTCGACTGGCAGTCCTGACTTTCTTTCGTGATTTTTCTCAGCCTTTCCAATTCATTATTCACCATGATCCTAACACATAACTTCTATACAGTCTCACTTACTGGCAGCTTCGTTGAATGAATAAAAAATAAACGAACAAATAAATATGCAGCGAATAGTCTGGTGGTTGGGTACCAATGTTTCGGAAGAACATATTGCCTCCATCTTCAGGGTAAATTAACGAAATATGTTTATTATAGGATCTGGGCCGGGAAGCTCTCGACTTGGTGGAGGAAGCAGTCGAAATCCTCGGAGACGACATTACAGCGCCCCTGGACATACAGAACCGCCTGCGCATGTGCAGAGAAGCCGTCACTGGGATATAGTTCATGGATCATCTGCCGCCCCACCCTCCAATTGTATCTCTTCCTACCAAGACCATATAATTTCTGGAAAGCTGTTAGTTTCCTTCGTGACGAAATGGTTGCAGATGTATGATTTTTCTGAAACAAATGTTTTCTGTTCGTTAAAATAAACCGTGTTTTAAGAATAAAATTCTTATTTATTATGAGAATAGAAATGCAGTCACATCTCGACCCAAGACTTCCCGAATTTCGATCCCATTAAATCAATTAAAATGTAAAGCTCTCTCTGTAACAGGCTGTGGAGGTCCATAGGGTTGTGAGACGTCGAGCTCCCACATTCTTCTAGATAATTGACTGAGAGGGCCAGGGCCATAGTGCGGCTGGAAGGATTAGGTAAATTTAAAAGATCCAGTGATCTCATTTGGGACTTGAACCCGCGACCTTCCGGCTTGTAGCATAGTGCCTTATTCAACTAGGTTACCGCCTGCCACCATTACAGGAGCTAAAATGTAGACAGATGGGTCTGAGCCTAGAGCTTCAGGAACGGAACCCAGTACGCCTCATGTTATAATGAACTTGACTTATGACCCTCATTCGGAACCGCATTAAGTCGTGAGTACGAGATGAGACTACAAAGGCCATTGAAATTTCAATCGGCAATTGTTAAAAAAAACACCTCAAAATGATAGAAGCTATAAGCACAATATGGTTCTGAGTTTTATTTAACTTATTTAACTGAAGTCACAGGAACAACATTTTGCTCTGAGGATACATTGTCTCAGCCATGAAATAGATGGATCATTCCACCAGCTGTAACTTGGCACCAGACGGTGAGCCAGGCATCAGTGATTTAAAACAAAAGCGACACGAGGGTGCCCGGAACGTCATATCCCCATCACACAAAAGGTAAAAGTCTGTTTGAGCCTTGCTGAAAAGTGTTGTGTTACACACGGCACAGTGTTGGGGCCGAGAGCCACAGGGAACGTCTGGCTGTACTACTGTTCGTAAGTTCCCTGCCTCCTCTAGCCAGTGGTCAGAAACCAAAGAAAACTCTGGACAGAACTTTAAAATAAGCCACGATCATTTCATCGTTAATGCCTCTGTGCATTTAGCCAAACAAAATAGACATGTCTACACGTTTTAAATAAACAAACAAATGTCAAAAAAAGTATTGTTTCACCCTTTGAAGTGTCAGGGTAATTTTGATTTTCTGAATTAGTGTCAAACTTCATAATCTGGGGAAATACTTTAATTCATTCATTCGTTTTTATTTTATCCTGCAGATCAAAATATAATGCCACAGGACTTGTATATCTATATTATTATTGAAATACACTAATGATAATGGTATAAACTTATTGAAAATATGGCTTATTCTATGCATATGCTTATAAGTAGCCACTATTACAGAATCCTTCATTGAAATCATCTTCTGCTGAATAATGGCATCCCTTAACAAGTAAGTCCTGAGACACAACTGTTGAAGGCCAGACTGCAGAAGAAAACATGGCAGAGATACCTTCACTTGGCGATGAATGCCCATGGTCACCACTTGACTCTGCCTATCGAGTTTATGTAGGAGTGTTCCTGATAATCTCAGGTAAGTGACACCCAGTCAGATGCCCCTTTTGTCAAGTTAGTCTGACCATAATGCATAAGTTCACTTCACAGATATTTCATCTAGAATATTTGCTGTTTTCTGTTTATTTGCTGGTTTTAAAGTTATTTAACTATACACAAAATTTGTCTGAGATGCTTCGGTTTACCTCTGCTAATCTTCATTCTCCCATTGCTCCATACTCATCTGCCACTGCCATGTGAGGTGTGTGATATCCATGAACATGCAGCACATTATCATTTCCTCAGGCTTTAACTTCAGGGCTTCATCTCTGACCTGGCGCTTGGCTCATTGCTCGTTTTTTCCAAAAGTATTGTAACGTATTGGATGTATAACGCGACAAATAACTTCACACCGTATTTGATATAGCGAATTTTATTTCACATTCGCACTTACAATCACCCAAATTACAGATTCACAATTACTGCTATCTGCAGTATCACAAATACTGCACTCCAAATGCCAGAATACAACTGACTGGTTGCTGGATAACTCAGAACTAACTTGGAGGTAGCTCGAGGACTAACTGTGAATAGCCTTCGCTGCTCCTTATGTAGCCGCGTTTGGACAATACAGAAAATGGCCACGTAATAGGCACCACTGTTGTCTGGTGCCATCATGCTAGTAACGCTGTGTACCACTGTTACTACCGTCGTCTCTCGCAACCACTGTTTACCCGCGCTGCCTAGCAACCGCGGTACCCCTTGGTGACGTCACCGCTGTTGACTCGCGTTGCATAGCTACCAGGATGCTAGGACTCGGCTCACTTCGGCTGGCGGGGGGGGGGGGCGTCATCCATAGCTCAACATGTCACAGTATTAATAATTCCAAGCCATTTTCATGTATGGGTCCGAAACATGCTAATTTCATTTGAGAATACTGATGTGCTACTGAAAGCTGCTGTTTTACAGGCATTCTTGGTGTTGTTGCCAATGGTTGGCTGGTCACTGGGTTCCTCATTAGTCCACTGCTCAACATTAAGACACACTTACTGATACTGAACCTCACAGTCAATTGTTTAGGACGTGGGCTACTGGCAGGGTTCCCGTTTGCTGGAACTTCAATTCTCGCTGGCAGGTTTGTAGCAGAAAGAACCAAAAAAGTCAGTAAGTCTACAAAAGTTCTTAAAAGAAAGTGGTTGTGACAGAATTCAATTGGTTTAACATAGAATCTAGTGGTGAAGTAAGTTTGTTGTGGATGGTACTGTAACAAGGACTTCCATTTCGGGGTTTGGTTCAGTCTGATAAGATACAGAGGGTTTTCATGTGAGAACACTCCAGTGGAAGTCAGAAGCACTGTCTAGAAAACTGCCTGTAGCTATCTTACCTGCTATTCAGGCCACTTCTACTCTCCATCAGAATGTCCAGGAAAATGGTTGGTGAGGACAACAATGCCCAAGATTTCCCACTCTCTGCCTACTGCCATATTTTCCATCTGACTTTTCTGACCTAACTAAGTCAACCAGTTAAATGTGTTTACTGCTAGTGAATCTTACTACAAGTCCATCACAATCAACATTCCTGTGAACAGGACGGCTAGGTGACTACAGAGAAGTATGTTCAGAGAATGTGTGGGGCATCAATCCAGAAATTTCCTTCCATGACCTCAGCAAAGTCATTCTCAGCCACAGCAGATGACAAATATTGATGTATTCAGTGTACCTCCATTTCACAGGTGGCTGTTCGGTGCCAAATGTTGCCAGCTCTTCGCCTTCCTCCAGCAGCTCTTTGGCATGTCCCAGGTTGCTGCAGTCACAATGCTGGCAGTCGAGCGTGTCATGGTGACCCGTTATCTTTACTCTAGTAAGTACTGGACTAGCAACAGAACCCACTGATTATACTAGGGGCCCCTACAAGACCTCACACAATCTACCCACTCAGTTGGTGTCTCCACATCTTTAGACCTCAAGACAGAAACAGATTCAGCTCCTGAGATGCTGTGTTTAGCTAGGAGTAACAGACAATGGACAAAGTCCAGAAACTCATAAATAATAAGTTTATACACATCCCACCATAAGAACACTTTAGCATTAACTTACGAAGCTGATAGACATAACTCCTTCAGAAAACTACAATGGTTGAAAGTTCTGTTCATCCATATCCCATACCAGCCATACGAGATGTAAACGTCAGAATATTATCCTTAAAAGCATACTATAATGGGCTCAGTGACGTCAAAAAGCTCCTTCTATTGGACCCAACAGAAAGTGCTTCCCCATATTTTCACCTGAGGTTGGAAACAGATCCAGTATCCAAAAACACGTGTTCAATTCGGAATATTAGATGCAAAAATCAAATAATTTTAACTTTATTTACTTCTTGATATACAGCTAAAATTAAGTTACTCATAAGTACTTACCTTTATTCATATTACTAATGATATTACTGTCATGCAAATTAATAATTATCATTACAGGAACCCACCCTCCTCTGCAGCAGTATGTAACAGGAATTTTGCTTTGCTGGACTACTGCTGCATTGTGGTCAGTGCCACCGCTTCTAAGTTGGGGAAGGTCTGTCTCTCCAAGTCTCTTCAGCACCAGTCAGTTCAGTACCTGTAGCCAGGGGCATGCTGCAAAAATCGTAAATACCGTTTCACATGTCCAAGTGTCAGCTGCCGGTGTCTCATTAGACTGCTTTCCAGGACAAGAGCTCAGTCACCATAATGATTTGGCTGCTGGCTGGACATCTAAGGAATCAGAGTTCAATTCCAAACAGAGACAGGAGATTTTTGTTTACTCAACAGCATTCAGACCAGCTCTGGGGCCAACCTAGCATTATATACAATGGGTACCAGGGGCTGTTTATCTGGAGATAAAGAAGTACAGGCCTGAACCTGACCACTTATTTCCACATAATGCTAAGATAATTGTGGAGCTATACCTCCACTCCTCATGGAGTGGTCCTTGATTAAGCATAGAGGCAACTTTACCATAACTTTATTTTTCAGAATTTAAAAACGGTTTATAATGTGCAGGGCTGGAAATGGAGAATGGCCCAGATGTACAGCCTCTACTTTCTTCCAGAGTGAATCAATTTGAGAAAGTTTTATGTAGTGTCTTAAGACACCATAACTACCAGTCCCAACAATGATAAATATAGGAACAATTCATGATCCTGCACTAATAGTTTGCTTTTAGGCTGCGCCATAGCTCAAGCAGTTAGTCGCTGGCCCGGGTTCAAGCCCGGTCTGGTCAAGTGGGATTTGTGGTGGACAAAGTGGCGCTGGGGCAGGTTTTCTCTGAGTACTTTGGTTTCCCCTGCCAATCTTCATGCCACCAAATTCTCCATCATCATAATCACCCAGGACAGGTACAATAGGCCAATCAGTGGCTGACGTGCCTAATGGACCTAGCTGGACTCCACCTCCCACTATGAGAATTAAAAAAAAAAGTTTGCTTTTAATACATGATGGTCATGACCCCCAGCCATTCTACTGATCTGGATTACCTCCCTCATTCTGAAAAGCTATTTTCACCGTTGGTTGCATATGTGTGTCACTACCCCAAAAGGTACACTCACTTATAACATCCCCTGGCTTGCTTTCAGGGCACAATTTTAATCAGAGTTCAATTTCCAGGTATCAGTGTGCCTGAGCTTGCTCCCTTACATTCCAATTTGCAGCTGATGTTGCTGGTAACTTATGTCAAAAGAAATAACCTACAACTTCACCCAGAAATACAATGACTGGCATCTGGTTCTTCTCTTCATGCAGTTTCACAAGAACATTCTAATAGCCGAGGCCTGTCCACCCAGCAATCTAAGATATCTTTGTTCTCATTCAGATAAAAACCACTGCATCTACTATACAAAACATTACATGCCAGAACTCACAAAATAAGTTATTTATATTTGGTAGCCGTGACAGTGAAATGACTGTTCCTGAGACTCTGAGGAAGACATTCACAATATTTCAAAATACACCAAACAAAGATGAATAAATTATGGAGTGGTTAAATTAAAATGAATTTAATTTATATGTTGTCTGTAATGATATTAAATAGCTAAATAAATAAATAAAGTTAAAATTGTCCATGTATGTAGCACAGATGTGGGAAACAGGAAATGAATACAGACTTTAGTGAGGAAATCACCTGGGAAGTGGCCACTTGAAATGATGGAAGAGACAGAAGAACATTAAAATGAATCTGAGATGGCAGTGAATTGGCACAGTATGGACTGCAGTGGCATATTTTAATTTAGTATTAGTTGGACTATTAATAGTAGCAATAATAGTATGAATTTAGAAGCCTATAATGAATCATAAAGAGCTGTCTGATTCCTGTCCATTTGTACTGTCAGACATTTCTAGAAAAGAGAAACAAATTGTGAGATTTGACATTTTCAAAGTGCTGAATACTTGGATTGTGATGACCTGCAGCCTGGTAGATAAACATTATGGTCTTATGGGATGTGACAATGTGTAGTTTGGTAGACAGGTACTAACACTTCAAAAGAACCTGTTGCCTTCATCTCCTACCCTGAAGACAGAGGCAACAGGTACCTCCAAAACAAAAGTACATATCTACCGAACTACCTGGCACCACATCCCAGAAGACTTTAACCTCAAATCTCATAGTCTGATGAAGGGCTACAAATGTTTTGAAGGAACTACCTGCCCCCATCTTCAGGGAAAACTAATTAACACCGTATGTTACTCAAAGCAGGTATGGCTGTGATCCTACTGCCATGTCTTGCAGTCTGCAGTGGGATCTAAACACAGGCTACTCCAGCAAAATATACAACATCTGTCTGCTTCTCCTTGGAGGGATTCTTCCTGCAACACTTATGTAGGTGCAGTTATAGTAGTTTTTAAAATATTTTATGGAAAAACAGGTAATGAACCTAGGACTCCCACTCACAAAGCAACTGTTTAGCCTCCAGGCATACTTGCTCTTTACTCAGCAGTTTGTTTCAGGGCAAGCTATGAAACTGCAAGAATTTTGAACAAGAAACATCACCCCATGGTTTATATGAAAGGACATAATTTGATTAATAAATGTAAAACCATGGGGTTTGAATGTGCCTGTAGAACATGTTATTAATTACACATCTTCAGTTTCTCCAAAGAATGTAACAATTTATTCTTATAAACTGATTTTGCCTGGTTGTCAAAACTGTAATCAGTTAAATCTGAGGTTCTTACAGTGGTAACCATGTAACTTCTTCTGGGATGTGATGCCGTGTAGTCTGGTAGATGTTCACCAGAGTTCTGGAGGAACTGCTTACTGCTGGCCGGTTGCATGGCTTATTCCTTGACTCTATAAAGATAGGGGCAGCACATTTTTCTGAAATGTTAGTGAAATTTACCAGACTACATGCCATCATGTTCCAGAACACAGCATCTTTTCAATCAGTAATTTCAAGTAGTTCAGAATGAACATGAATATTGGATCCTACGTAATGACTTAGCAGATTTAATGCACAAGACAGGAATGCATACAGAGGTGGTCATGTCTGTTCGTCTATCTGACAAAATTTGGTATGAATGTCATGACATTGGAGTCCACCCCAAAATCATATATTTTAATTTCCTAGGGCTGATAACAGAAAAGTGGCAGAAGCATGAATTTGTGAGGTGGTAGCAACATTAGCCAAAATACAAGTACAAATGGTAACCAATATGAAATTTAAGTTTATCATAGCAGTGAAGTATCAAGACTTCAACCCGTGACTAGCTGTACTACATAGTGTCAAACGGTAGAATAATAGATGAATTAAAATAATTTGAAGGCCTAACTCAAATTCTCTCTTGGTGTCAGCCTGGAGGGACTGCTGAAAAGCATGAATAACTTGAGACAGAATAGCTGGGGTCCAACCTGTATTTCAACTGAACACCTCCCAAATGTGAGTCAAAAGCCTTACTGCCCTGCCAAGTTTGATAGATAGATAGATACCAACGTTTGGAGGAGCCTGCTCCCTCCATCTTCAGGGTAGAAGAGATGGGGAAAATGAAGGCATCAGCTTCCTCTGAAACACTGATACAGAAGTACCTAAAGCCATGTCCCAGGACAGAGTAATTTTTGTGGTTAAGGGGAAAACTGCCCACTCTTACTATGGTACATGCCATGATATTACAACGGTTATGTAACAGAACATTGTGATGTTTAGGTCTTTTTGCATATGGTGTGCTGTGAGTTCTGAGGGGAGATCCAGTGCTGGTATGGATGTAGATCGCCTGTCACAACGTGCCCTCACCAAGGTCAGTGCAACTATTTGCTAGAGAAACATGCCCTCATTTATCATGGTTCATTTGGTAATGCTGTCACTAGCTCAAACTATCTAGATTTGAATGATAGGATTGTTATTGTGTAATGAACCAGAAGGAAGTGGTCTAAATCTAATTTGATGTACCATCCTGGAATTTGCCTAGCATTTAACAGCTATGTTCACACCCTGAACAAAGTGACCTGAATACCCAAATTCAACTACCTTTTTTTTTGTGGTATGATAAAATATATTTCTAATCATTACATCAATTAGAGAGCCTGAGTTTGTTGTAACTATCGTTGGACATGCAAACATATTGAATAAACTGTAATAAAGCTTTCTGATGATGCTTCACAGACTGTAGGAGTGCTTGTGCCAGGACTGTGTCTGATGTGGCTGCCACACTCTTTGCTAGTACTGTGGTCTCTGACAGGAATCCCATTGCCAGTTCCACTGGTTATCCTAGCTACAATGAGTTCAGAGGTTTGTGTGATTTCATTTCACAGTGTTAATCATAAAAGTGCAAGGCTTAATTCCTCCATTTCTAAGTCACCATTTTATATTGTCAGACCTACTCTTCTTTCATGGAAATATTATATAAAAACTCCTTAAGATTCCAAATGTATCGAAAAGTTCCCTCCAAGTGTTTCTTCATTAAATAGTTCAGATAAAATGCCAACAGATGTCACATATTGTTACATGCTGCAATTTTTGTAAAGAAAGCAGTCTGCTTTTACCAGTTCTCATGGTCTCTTCGCTTGCAGATTTCTTATAATTTTTTTCTACCCTGAAGATGGAGGCGATACGTTCCTCCGAAACGTCGGTTAACACCACATATACACGGTGCCAAATCCCAGAAGACTGCTTTCTTCATAGTCACCGCCATGAAAGCCTCAAATCTTACAACTTTTACTCTTGTTAGACTATATTAAATTCTTGATTATGAATTATACCTATAGAAATTTATGACATTTTAAAGAAATTATCCCATATAATTAGAGTAAATTCATTTAACATGTTTGCTTTTATAATGTTTTAGTTCCCCTTGTTTTATTTTGTGTTTCTTTCTTAGGCATCTGCGGTTATTCCTATATCAGCATGTATGGCATGTGATCAGAATATGCGAAGGGCTCTCCTTGGAATTTTGGGTATATCCACATATTCACCTGCAAAGAATGGAAGATAAGGCATTCACCTGAGGCATATAAAGTAATTCATACAAGTGTGTCATGAAACTGAATGATATAACATACAAAGGAAATGTGGGTTCATCACACAGTGTATGCTCACTTTCCAAGTCATTATGGCAACAAATAAAATCTGAACCTTTAAAGTGGGAATAACACTTGAATTAAGTATCTAAAGTTCACTTATGTAATGAAAGTAATATTTTGATTGAGGGTTCAGCTCGCATCCAGGAACACTACTGCAATACTTCATGTCACATTAACAGCCATGGCTATGGTATATACTGGCAAGAGTATGGAGTCAATTTCACAATACTTTTGAGTGTTCAATATTGACCTTTTTTCCAGAAGCATTTTTGGCAAACAGTTTACTTAAATGTAGCTGTTTCCACACAGCCACATAACTAATCAATGGCCTGCTAAGATGTAGGAAAGAAGAAAGGTTTAGAAATATTTCATAAAGACACACATACATGCACCAACCTCAATACACACACATATATCAGATGGCTATGAGGCTCCTTATGAACTGTACATGTGTCCAAAAACTGAAATGCTGAACACTCAATGTAGTTACATACGTGGCAAATGCTCACTGTGGTACAGCTGGGAAAACAGCTGCTGTAACCAGGACTTCAAGCACCCATCACACACCAATGAATGTGCCACCTTCTAGGAACGTGGTCAGTAGGTTAACAGAGAGAAGTCTGTCTACAGAGTAAGGAACTTTAATGTTACACAGTGTGGCCAGCTTCCCTTTAACTCATGGGTTCATTCATGTTCAACATGGATACAAGAGCTTAATTTTGCAAAGCATTATTCTTGTACTAGGGCGGAGATTGCTCTTTTCCACTTATACTGTGACAGAAAAGAGACTTGTGGCGAAGGCAGGAAATCAGACACTTTGAAATATAACCAAAATGAATATTAATTTACTACAAAGTGTATAAATAACAAATAACAATGTATCATTGACAATAAGCATTGCAATGGTGTGGTGTCATCCTTTGTTAACTCAGCACACTGTACAACAATAATTTTCTCTTTGATGTGAATTTGGTCGAATTCTGCGTATTTTTATGTGTACACTGCAGAAATGTTCATGAAAATCTTCTATCATACACAGGTATCTTTAGAAAACTGAATTACTGATTTCTTTGCAAACACAAAAATTTATGACAGGCATTTGGCTTGAAGAGTGGAAGAGGGCAGCCACTAGTCAACAGATTGTCTTGATATGCACTGACTCAGCAGAAAACCACCAAGGCATAATTCACCTGTGTTTCTGTAAAGATGAGAAAAAGTTATTCATCTTGTTGTACAGTGTAATTTGTTTTACAAAACTCGGTGTTCGGTCATATTTATATTCAGATGTCCATAACATACAAATGTGTAAATTATTATCAAGAATACAGTTCATTAAAATATTGCAAACATCTTTACCAGGAGAAATTCAGCATCACCAATACACTTTCCCCATCTCATTAGCTCTTAATAGAGATCAAATGAAGAGCTATGGGTAGCATCACAGAGTAAGGCAGCAAGATGCACGGCTCATGCACACTCAGCACTCATCAACAAACAGCTAAACATACCACATACTGATTCAAATTCCCTACGTTCATAACTTATGAAAAATGGACTCAATCAATATTTTCTGGTAATCAAAATACATTATAACCAATACTTCTCTTTCTATACAAAAGAAAAATATTTTAAAATGTTTCTCTGTTCTATGTAAGTACCAGCCGTTACATCACTGTAAGTTCCTTGCACGATTTGCATAATCCATTTTATTTTCTCCGATTTTATAACCACACCGCATCATGAATCCACAGACTACACATACTACTAGTTCTGGTAGCTTATCAGTGCTAATAAAACCTTGAGCGGCCACTTGCATCGCTTTGGAGCTGCAGACAAGTTCTGGATACCTTCTGAGTTTCCATGTCTGGGAATCATACCCTCATGATAGGCAAACAGATGTGAGACTTCAGTTTGTCATGAAGATTTCTATCTCCTGGGATATAAATCCAAGTAGTCTGTTGAGAGTCAAACCGTGTTTCAAAAGAACATCACCTTCATCTTCAGGGTCGAAGAATAGGCCAAGCAAGAAACCAGCATGAAGAAATTAGCAACCAGAGCAATCCACTTAATAAAAGCTATATTTTTGTAGGAAACAGGAGGGAACTGCAAGACAACTTACTAAGTTACAAATTGGCTTGCTCACAAGAGAATGAACCAGCAGGAGACAAGAAAAGGATACCTAGAGTCAGCCTTGAAAAGGCTGCTAGAACAGGTCTGGGAACATAGGGGGAGATATGTCGCAAGGGTGTGGTGGGCAGAGAATCGAGGAGGTTGAGTGAGAAGTTGTGAGCATGTGTTGTAGGCATGTGATGAAGCTGGCTTTGAACAGACTACAGAGAATTATATCCCAAATAATGAAGCTCTTCAACTAAAATAACTTTGGACTTTGACACCAAATTGATGCAGCTGGTCATCTGAAAATATTTTACCACTTTTAGTCACCATGAATGCTTGCTACTCCTCACTATAACACTTAACTTGAAGGCACCTCCTTAATATTCAGTGATCTTACAATCACAAATCACAGTTGCACTGTCATGCTGCCATATGGACTGCATTTCCATTTTGATGATTTGTTGATTTTTGGCTCGATGTGCTGATTTTCCTTTGTATCAAGTACCTTTGTAGTGGTGGGATGAAGAACAGCATTAACCCACTCACAGCAATTGTGACGCCTGATACATAGAACCCAGGGTTGTATGATTGGAGAGCATCATACAGCCACCCTGTATGAACAAAATACACATTTCAACACACCTGGAAAATTTACTATTCAAAGTAAAATTTGCTTATAACAACAGATAGTGAAAATATTTAAAAATATAGTAATTTAACTATTATAATTAAATAAATAAACCTAACATAATTTTATACACATTTTTACATAAAATAAAATTAATAATTAAACACAACTGAACTTTTAGTTATATACTGACATCACCATCATGACACTGCCTACAAATCATGATGTTGCAATTAGAAAGCTGAAATGTAGATAAAGAGCGTTATGGCTATTGTGTGGTAAGTCTCATAATTTTTGTAACTGCATTTTCTAAAGGGAGTTTATCATCTTACATATCTACATATTATCTTCATTCTTAATGATTCCGTCTCCACATTTTGTGGAGCAGGAGAAACTGATATATAGTGTTTGAAACAGGAACAGTTCAACATCACAGACAGAGAAAATGGAATTATATTTTCTGATTTATATTGTGATTATACATGGTTTAATAATGAATATATAGCCTTTATGACCTGAGGAACTACATGCATTTGTAACATGAAAAATTATGAAAAACTAAAGAAGAACCGTTAAGAACTAAGGCAATGACATGAAATTACAAAATCGCAAAATAAAGAATGTAAGTCAACAAACTGCATTATTTATAATATATTGTGGCGTGCCGCCAAAAAGGACATAAGACACGTCCATTGATAGGCAACGGCTGGGATAAGAATGTATACTTCAGTGAATACACAATACCAGCAGACCATTGCATAAGAATCGCCCAAACAACAAATACGTTTCCCCGGAAATGGAAGGATATCCATGGAAATGAATACTACCAGCAGATAAAACCGAACCCATGAACACAATGTTCACTAGTCAGTCTGAGTGCGCATTATAAAAGTCCAGCTTCGACGAGACCACTCAGTTTTTAGTGTAGCGGTGCAAGTAACTGTGATAGTGAAATTGTGAATAATTGTATTTGTGAGTGTAAAAGAGATTGTCCAATAAACAAACGTCTTCGCCAAATCCGAGATCCACGTGAATTTACTTGTGTTACATAGGAAACATGCAACAATATGTTTTGAGGTGTTCATGGAGGTGGTTTCTCAGACTGCAGTCTTCTGGGTTGTGACACCATGCAATCTTTTAGACAGATACTGGCGTTTTGGAGGAACATGCTGTCTGTATATTCAGAGTTAAAATATGTAATTTCAGTAACTGACTTTTTATACAGGCAAGTTACAAGAATAGTTGTCATGAGACCCAAAAAGAGGGGGTAAACAAGGGAGTCAGCTTACATAAATACACATATTCTTTATCTTTTTACCATTTGGTACAAGAATGGCAGATTTCAACATTGATTAAAAGTGTGTAATTACCCCAGCACTCTTGTGTAATTTTCTGGGATATATTACAAGTGACTGTGATTATTGTTAACCTGTTCCCCTACTAATATTTACATTAAACTAATTTACTTAATATCACTGGCTCAGAGTCTTGCTGTTTCTCTTGGCTAACCTAACCAGTCACACTAGTTCTCTCTCTCTCTCTCTCTGCCTGATAATGTAAGAGGAAACAGCTCCCAAAATATTGTGTACTTGGGTATAAGATGGATAATATGCAGGTTATTAAAACTAACTAATGATGTACCCTCATCAGAAACATTCAGAAACGCAGGAGTCTATAATATTTGTATCACTGACTGTACCTGCTATAGGGGGACCAAGAAAAGATGCAATTCCTTGGAAGAGCAGCAGTAATCCAAACGCATTTGTGAGGCGATCAAGTCCAAGCAGATCCACCAGAATCACTGAAGTTAATCCCACATATGCTCCAATGGTAAATCCATATACGGATGCATAAATAACGAATGAATAGAAGTCATAGCAGAAGGCACTGAATGTGGTTGCTACAGAAACAGACAAAGCCATGTTATTTACTTGAGTTTAAAACCTATGTTAGGTAAGATTCCTGCATAGACTACTAGGTGAATTTAAAAAATGAGAATATTTGGAACTAATGTGAGAAATGTGGTATTAACATCAAAATTTAGAAATTACAAAGTGAGTTATAAAAATCCATTTTAGGTATGTACATATACGCATAAATGATTTCACACTGTTAACACACATGCATATGCTCATGACAACTGTTCCTAGAATTAATATGATAGTAATACTGAAACACCACGTTCAAAAATTTTCCAGCAGTTGGTACAGTGAACCCTCCACATTACAGATGTTTGGGTTATGGAATTTTGTCCTTATGGAAATTATAGAACATAACCATGAATTTTATGAATCAAATCATAAACACATCCCTACAAAAATTTAGAATACATGTTAAATATTTTTAAACACACTCTGAAAACAAATACAAATTCAGCTAAAAATAATTTATTTAAAGAAATTTTAATTTTTTAAGAACTTCACATCACATATGCGCATGCGATATTCATGCAGCAGGGTATGTCGCTGGCCATTGGCTAACCTATGCACACACACATCAGAGACATAGGATTACTTATGTACATTCATGGAGAAGAAATCACTAGCAGTCTCAGTTCATACAATGCTTACTACCATTCGGTTCAGAATTTTTTGCCTTCCCATAAGCTACTGGAAATGTAAATATTAAAATTTAATTTTGCCTCCTGTTTTGTACATATGTGAAACTTTGTCTCTTATATCAAAGGAAGAACAGCGACTCAGGATACTTGACAACAGGGTGCTGAGGAGAACATTTGGACCTAAGGGGGAGGAATTAATAGGTCAGAGAAAATTGCAAAATGAGGAGCTTCATAATTTGTACTTCTTGTCAAATATTAGTATAGTCATAAATCAAGAAGGGTGAGATGGGCGAGACATGCAGCACATATGGAAAGGATGACAAATGAACACAATGTTCTGCTTATGAAATCTGACCACTTGGAAGACCTTGGTATAAACTGGTACTTAATATTAAAATGGCCGCACCATAGCTCAAGCGGTTAGTCGCTGGCTTCCCACCGCGGTGGCCGGGGGTTCGATCCCGGGTCTGGTCAAGTGGGATTTGTGGTGGACAAAGTGGCGCTGGAGCAGGTTTTCTCTCAGTACTTCGGTTTCCCCTGCCGATCTTCATTCCACCAATTGCTTAACAATCAACCTCACCTATCATCTGGAGCTGGTACAATAGGCCAGAAGTGGCCGCAGTACAAGGGACTTAGTCCCACCCCACTAGCAATAAAAAAATATATTAAAATGGATCTTGAATAAATAGAACATGATGACAAAAACCAGATTCATTTAGCTCAGAACAGAGACCTGAGGCAGGCACTTGTGAACTCAATGGATGTTTTTGTTTCAAAATCTCCAGGCAAGGCCGTTACTAGCTAAGCTACAATTAGTTTCTCAAAAGGACGCCACTCTGAGGACTTAGTTAATCTGAAGACACAATACAGTCTGTTCTACACTCACCCACGCCACAGATGGTCAGGCACACATTATAGACCATTAATCGATTTATCCAAGGTTTGTCAGATATATAACCTAGGACAATCCTGCCTACAAGGTTGGCAATACCTATTACTGCCAACAGCAGACTGGCTCTGTTTGTGGAGATGTGTCGCTCTTCTGCCTGAGCCTGAGAACACAAGACAACGTCAGAATGTTCACAGAGTAAGATACTCAACTGACAGAATCACCATGGTCATACACAAACATCTCTATCAGAGAAAAATGCCAGGAGTAGATTCTTCATCCACGCCTACCTTCACACCATCATAACTTTATTCGTCTGAGAACACATGTTTAACAAGGATCCACTTCCTCTGATACATGTAATATACCATAAATCTTCCAAAAAGTGTTCCATCAGTGCACACTCTGATTTAGATTGTAGTGTTCTGCCTTACAGTGCTGCGTGGTAAGAAGCTGCCAGTGCTCTGCTTTCCCAACTTGACTTACTTCTGCATTGAAGATGGAGGCAGAATGTTTCCCAAAAACACTGGTACCAACTTACCAGACTACGCAGCGTCACACCCAAGAATACCACAATCTGAATTGAGGACCTCACATTGCACTGTCTCCTCCTAAGAGGTTTACAGGGTTATAACTTCATACTATTGAAGACAGAATTAAAAAATATCAAAAAGCAGTACTGAAAAAGATAGGTTGTGCATATGAAGTTTCATTGAGTACTTGTGTCAGGGAAAGAATGAACACAGATTCTCCCCTACATGTCCCTGTAGCAGATGCTTCCATCATCCAACTCCCAAAAGTTGTCACTTTTATTCTGGCCTGGTCTGTCATGAATTTCCACTGACAAATCATGTTATTTTATTAAGAAATTATATTATTTACTATATTTTATGAAGGTCAATGTAAATACTGATTACAACAATAATGAAATATATGACTGCCTTCTCTGTAGTGAGGTGACTGATCTGCTGACAGAAAGGAGATATGCAGTGTACACAGGGTGGGGGAGCAGGCAGTTGAATGTAATACAGCTCCCCACACCATCAGTCATGTATTCCTTCTTTCCTTGATCCATGAATGGGGTGAGGTGTTGGTAACACTGGACCACTGTGATATTATAAAATGGGAAGGTTGTAATTTAATTCCACACTGCAAGAATACAGAAAAACATGACAAATTCAATTAATAAATTGAGTACTGACCACTAAATATACGTATGGTATGTTGAATCCGATGCTAGTGCAGAAGTTGGACACAGTGAAGAGAATAAATATGGGATCTTTGAGGAGAGAGAAGTCCAACATTTCTGTAAGTGTATCTCTAGTTTCTTTTGAGCAAGGCATGCAGCCACATATCGTAATTCTGTCATCATCTTCTGGCCTCTGTTTCACGCCCTTAATGCCATTCTGTTCCATTAATTGATGGGACTCTTCTGTATGCTTCATGTCCTGATGTAGCCATGGGTTAGACCTGCAATAGAGTGAATTTACACAGTAATATGTGGATAACATTTAATTACAAGCTAACAGGGACTGAGCAGGCAGCTGGAAGAGGTAACCATACTCTGGCCAGTCTAGATCAGCGGTGCTCTCTGATAACGTTTAATTATAAATTATATATCAGTAATATCATCATTTAAACTTGAATGATTTTGCTTTTCAATTTTTGAAAAATATAAACATTTTGTATATGCTTATATAAATAGTTAGCTAGTTATTAGAGAGAGTGGGTTTCCCCATGCACTTAGACCTGTAGTGGTCCATTGTGCTTCCCTCTATGATTTCTACCAGCCTCTATATCCTGCCGGTATTGGTGCTTACCATCAGTCCCGGCCAGCCAGCGAGACCGGCTCTACTGGCTGAGAAGTATCTATAATGCTTCCCCCATCTACCGAAGGTATTAGTGACTGCTGTCGGGCGGCAAACGTCCGAAATTTTGCTCAGTGACCTCCTTTGGAGGTATGAGGTTCTTTTACGTGCCGTAAAGCTACAACACAGGACCCACGGCTTAAAGTCCATCCTGGAGGACTTGTTCCCTGAATTTTTCTGCCCTTAAAAATTCGACGACCTCCGCCGGGTATTTGAACCTGCGTACTACGAGTCATGAGGTGGGAACGTTACCTCTAGGCTACGGAGGCCGCTTGCTTATATAAATAACATAACTGATAACTTCAATCTAATACACATATTTTGCATAAAATGTTAATTATGCCGAAACTTAAGTTTTATTATTTATTGCTATTATAACAAATCTCAGACATGACCTGTATGACATCAAAAATTAATTCACAAGTTTGCTCTTTTATGCCTTTCATACTATTATCTCCTTTCTTCCTTTCATGTTCCATCCATTAGTCCACCTCGGCATCATTTCCTTCCCCATACCCCACCTCGGCATCGTTATGAAATCTTAAGTTTTCCCTTCTTTTCTGACAGCATTAATTACTATTTATATATACTTGTATATAAACTACAGAGCTTCCAGGACAACTTAGAAATATTCAAAATACTAGATTCCTTCAAAATGGAGGGACATGATAGTAGAATGATATATTAACATGACAGCAGCAAAATTAGTACAACCATTATATAAAGCATCTTCCAATATGAAAATAGGGGATATTAATTCTGTATTGCATACTTCTTCTTTCTGAACATTTAAATTTTTCTCATTAAACAAAAAATGTAACTGACTATTCTCAGATTGTAGTCTTCTGGGTTATGAAATTTCATGGTCCAGTGGGTGGGTACCAGCACATGTCCAGAGTTGACAGTAAGTTCCTCCTAAACTCTGATATCCACCACACTGTGCCACAACCCAGAACACTGCAGTCTATAAAAACCTGATGACAAAAGTGGATACATGCTCATGTCTGATATATCAAGTATCTAACTCCAATATGCAACCAAACATATCAAACATGAAGAAGTAATAAACATTATGGAAGCATAAGTAACAATGTTAAATTGAACACCCCAGAGTTAGGATATGTAGAAAATAAGGCTGGTAAGTACATGCATGTTTTACACACTGTACATCACACACTCATGTCTTGCATGCCACCAATGGCTTACCCAAGCCTGTCTGTGTGGCATTCAACCTTCTTTGAGGAATGGGAAGACACAAGTGGCCCTTGCTTAAATAATCTGCTGCATCCAGGTCTCAAACCCAAGACTCTGAAGTTTGTATGACCTGGCCACGTACAGCTTCTCCTTCTTTTCCTCCTCCAAGAAAAATAAAATAGAAATGGAAAAAAGCAATGGAAGAGTAGGAAGAGAAAAGGATATTAAGATTACGGTCTTCCATGATGTGAGCTTATGTAGTCTGATGGGTATCATCAGAAATTTTGGAGGAGGCTGCTCCTTCCTTTTTCAAGGTAGAAGAGTAAATTCGAGTGTGGGAGCCAGTTTGAATGCCTCAGTGTGTGGAGAGCTCAAGAGAAATTTTGAGGTGCTTGTAGGTAATGAAAATTAGCAATGACAAGAAAATACCAAATGCCATTTTGAATGTCTACAGTATAACATATATAAAAATATAACTGTTCTGTTGGTTTCTGTCTGTTTCCCATTTTCTACCACCAACCTGATAGAAAGAATACAAAGGCATTACAAAATTTTCTTTGTATGCTTTCCAGTACATACAGTGGCCACAGATATTAGAGAAATGTGCAAGCAAAGTGGTAGAGTTTTTGGATGTAATTTGAATCATGAGTCCAAATTTTTTGTTTTAAATTGTTAGTAAATTCTAATTTCTTAATGTGAGAACTATTCCTTCCTTGAAGCCTTGGCTACTCTGTGTTGTGATACTAACAAGGAAAGCGGCCATATTACAGGGTAAGAATTGGTACTTCTGCCTGTAAGTAAAGCCATCCCTGTAACAGGCCGTGAAGACCCATAGGGTTGTGAGACGTTGAGGGTCCCACATTATCTAGACAATCGGCTCAAAGATGGCGGTAAGGTTGTCAGCCTTGCTTTACTCCCCAGAAAAATTATTTGATTAATTCCTGGTACTCATTTCTGTTAGAGGCTGAGTTGACCCCAGGGCCATAGTGCGGCCAGAAGGATTAGGTCAATTGAAAAAAATCAAATGACCTCATCAGGACTTCAACCCGGAACCTTCCAGTTTGTACAATAGTGCCCCCACTTCTGCCTGTACAACACATAAGTTTACCTGTGATATGGAATGCTGTGTAGACTTCCACGGTAGAAGATATCCCTCCTGTACATGACGCCACTTGACTTTCGTAGACTTTGGCTTCCAAACGTAAGTTTGAAACTGGGATCAGCTGCTGAAGATGAGCTCATAAGCAAAACAGGTTGACTCAGTGCCAGTCTGGCAATGTCTGACTTCACATTGTGTGACTTGCCATGGACTTTAGCAGTGTGAGCCACTGTGAAGTGCCCGATGCTCACAGGCCGATGCAAGGGGTTCCCATCAGTTTTTAAGTTGGACTTGGAAATTATCTGGTTCAGGTCTCTCTCAGAGTTATTCTTCTTGGCCAGTGGACCGACAGTGGCAGAGCTGATATGAGGGGTTACCCTACCAGAAGATGCTTTCCCACTGACAGGTTTGTCCTCCCTGTGGTCTGGCACCGGCCTGAACAGAGCACCCAGGATTATACAGTTGAGCACAATAGCTGCAATGATTAGCAAGGCACCACGCCACCCATACTCTGTGACAAGGTGCTCAGTGAGGGGCGCAAATATGAAGGTTCCAAGCCCAGAACCGCAAACCGCAATTCCAGTTGCAAGGGAACGATATTTCTCGAAGTAACAAGTTACGCTAACGATGGCTGGCAGGTAGATGAGACCGAAACCAAAGCCTGGAACAAAATATTAATTTTCAACATTAAGAGAATACTGAAGTGGCATAACTAGTGCTCAAAGTAACCAAAAGTAAATAACTGACTTCAGAATAAATGGAATTCTTGAGTAGATACTTAATCAATAAACTGTGTGATATCAACTTCTTCAGAGTGATCCTGTCTCACACATTTTATCAGCTTATTGACTGCTGTCCCATCTGTGTGACTGTGTGACACGTAACGTCATCCTGCTGTATCCACCTGTCTCCTCCTTGAAGTTCCAGTAAGGAACACAACTTCAGATGTATGGATTGGTATGCTTCAGCATCAAACACCATGGCAAAGTGGACAACATCCCTGTTTCTTTTTCAGTATGTCCTGGGTTCAAATTTGGGCCCAAAGCCCGCTATACTGACTGGGATATTTCATGGTTTACCTCAAGTGGACAACATCCCTGCTTCTTTTTCAGTATGTCCTGGGTTCACATTTGGGCCCAAAAACCAGATATCCTGACTGGGATATTTCATGGTTTTTCTCAATCCCTCCATGACACTACTGCTCCCTTCCACATACTTATCAGTCATTCTGCCTACACTATAGAGCCTGAGCTACTGACAGAAACATGCAATAAACCATAAATAAAACATACATATTTTTCAATGCTGATGTTTCTTCCAAAAATAGCTGTTGTAGAATTCTCAGTGTTTCGTGCTTGGTTAAGGTTCAGAATGGATCATTCTGTATATTTACCTGCTCCCAGTCCGATAGTGAAGTACAGTGTGATAACATTCTCTGCAAAGACACTAAGCACCAAGCACACAAAGGCGAGGACTGCCCCTGCAATGGTCACTGCCCGACAGCCATATTTGTTCACAAACGAACTGGAGATTGGACCTGCACAACAAGTCACACATGAACACTAATCATAAAAGACTGCATCATTTAGAAAAACTATTCACATCCCTTACCCAACAATAGGTGGAGGAAAAAATTAATGTCTTCTGGGGTTTGACGTCGTAAAGCCTTGTAGATATATAAAAAGAGTTTCTAAGGTACCTGATGCTTCTATTTCTACCCTGAAGATGGATGCAGCAGGCTCCTCCAAAACGGTGCAAACTATCTACACATAAGATGGGAGGTTAAGATTTATTCATTTGCTAACTTAGATTCAAAATTTCAGTGATTGAACATATATTTAATATTGAAGTTAAAATGTGTGGATGTTTACCTTGAAGTCTACCATACGCTTCAGAGGTTGGCTGGACACGTAAATAATTCTATCTATGAGTCTGTAAGCTATGTGCTGGGAACCCAACTTTAAACGAAATCATTTTGAAGAGTGCTGTATTCTGTCTAGTGACACCGTGTGCTTAGACAAAAGTTCGTCAGAGTTTCAGAGGAATGTATTGCTTTCGAAACGTCGGTGGACTTATACGGATTACGCCTCAAATGCAACACACAAATAATATTCTAAGCTCTAATATTGGATATTATCCACCGTTTGGGCATTACACAAAAATGGGATGTGTATAAAACCGTTGGATGACTACATGCCAGTGCGTCTAGGAGTGGAAGGAATCATTCGTTGATTTACTAACAAGGCGGAGATGATGGTACTAAGCTTGACTGTTGGCCAATGCTGTTTCGAGGTAACATGGCTTGTAAAATTGCGGCTGGACTGTAAACACTGGTGGGCTGTTAGGTGCCCTCAGATTCTGAAGTGTTATATTTAGCTGTGTCTCAAGGACTCTGCATGCCCCCCCCCCCACAATTACAGTCACCGTGGCCACATTCTCGTCACATCGAAAGACGTGAAATGTTGAGGGGACAAACGTCTGGAGAGCCACTGAGAATAGTTCGAGGTTTATCCTTTAGAGCGCAGTGCTAACTATATTCACCACATTAAAAACTCTGCACTCTGCCCACGCAGTGTATTTATGGGGTTCGTATGATTCTCAGAACAAACAGCGATTAGTTCCCTAAACAGCATTAACCGGTTGGGCTTTGTAGCGGAGACGTAATGTGTTTCCTGTGAGGTCCGAACTCTATTCTTATATACTGTTTACCTAAATCTATACCTTAATACCCCGCGTGGAGGCGGGTTCGAATACCTCCACCGTAGCCCTGCGAGTCGTAGGAGGCGACGAAAAGGGAACCCGGTGCCTGGGGGCACAACTGGGCCACCCTGTTCTTGGGGAATATAAATACGGGGGGATCTGTTCTTCCCGCAGGACTCGGGTCCGAGAATGACTGCGCTGGCGAGGACCAGCAGCAACTGTAAACAACAACCCCGTCCTCTCGTCATACAGGGCGCTGAACATCCTGAGAAACCTGCAACTGTCTGACAGTAATAGAAATCTGGTGTTGGGCCCCAGATGGGTGCTTGACATCAAAGACACACTGACCGACTGACCGTCGGTCGTAACGAAACTTTGTCTCTGACTTTGGCTTTACCTTCTTCAGTTACCAACGCTTTACCGACACTCAAAAGTACTTCGACCAGGAGGACTAGCGGACATTGCCTCGAAATCTGCCCCCTCCAAAAAAATAAAAGTATCTCTTACTACTCCATCCCTCCCCCACTTCCGCTTCTCTCTTCCGGCCTCGCGTTTTTTTTCTTCAGCTGCGGATGGACTAAGCCCTCTGACCCGTCACGACTGAGAATTCCTTCTTCTTTTGTTCATTTCACGCCGCTGCGCGTATCTGATTATGTAGCGTCAAGTGTTAGGATGACTGGTGAATAATAAACTGGAAAGGATTTGTAAAGAGACGGTCGTGGCCTAACTGAAGGTATTGTACATTTTGGGGGCTCGAAAACTCAGCCAAGATACACTTTGCCCCGCTCCGATTTGAACCCAGTACTTCCCGAATGCACACCTAGAGCGTTACTGCTATGCCAGCCGGCCGGGTAAAAATTATTTCTGAAATAATGACTCCATTACATATTGGCTGGATCCCGTGGGCAAGGGATCGACCAGTCAAAAAACATCTTGCTACACAGGGCAAAACAATAGATAAAAAGCTCCAAGTGGAACACAATGCAGCACACAAATGCCATGTTCCTGTCACGTGTGGGTCTGTCTGGTGCCGAAGCATGGGCGCCGACAAAGAATGGGGGGGGGAAGCCAGTCGTCTACCCTCTCCCCTGGATATCTGAAGGAATGGAAACTAAAGGAAAGAGGAAATATACTAAATAAAAACAAAGAATAACTCCGTGGCCTGTAGTACGCAAGCGAACTATATCGACCGAGCGACCGCCGCTTGTCGACGAAGTTAGTACCAAATTTAGAGAATAGAGGATGTCGCGTGATCAGCGCAACGGATCCTCACGGCCGTTAATCTCGGTTTCCTAGACCGGAGCCGCTATTTCCTTGAAATAGTTCCTCAATTATCCTCACGAGGCTGAGTGGACCCCGTTCTAGACCCATAACTTCTCAGAAAATCTGGTAGCGCCGCATATCGAACTCGCGACCTCTGGATCTGTAGCCAGTAACTCTGACCACTAGACCACAGAGGCATAGCAATAATAAAAAATACAAGCCCTTAAAAATATTTTCTCTAATAAGCAACCTAGGAAACAAAGGTAAAATGTTCCTTTTCTTAATTAATACCACGCCGTGAAGACGCACGGGGAACAGGAATATGGTCCAATACTTGACCTTTGCACTAGATGACGGTAAGTGGTGGGCTTCACGCCTCGGTCGCTTTACCCCCAGAGAAAGATCCCCCGGTACACATCCACTAAGAGGGTGGACTCTGTGGAGAGCAGAAAAATCCCTTGCTCTTATCGGGAATAGAACACAGATCGCCCATCCAGCAGTCTGTCACTATACCGGCTCATGAGTAATCTAGGGCGATCAGTAAAAATATTCTTACGTCCCACTTGACCAGACCCGTGATCGAACCCGGGCCGCCGCGATGGGAAGCCAGCGACTAACCGCTTGAGCTGTGGCGCGGCCCTTAGGCTTACGGCACTCACCCAGCGTCAGCTTGTGACGTTCTCGCTTCCGGAAGTGCCGGGTTCGTATTTCCATCTACAAACCGCCTATCCTCAGTTTTCGTGGTTTTCTTCGATCCCACTGGACAAATTTTGCCACCATACCTCAAAATAAACCACGGCCGCTTCCTTTCGCATTCGACACTGTGTAATCTGAGCTATCGGCAGCGTCGTTAAATGAATTACAAACGAACAGAATCACATGTCTTGTGTGACACAGTTCCGTGTCATATGACGTCACACATTGCTTACGTAGGCTGTTTCACACTTCATGGGTAAAAAGTAAAGATAATTTCGTCTCTGCTTCTTTACGCAGCCTGGCGTGAAGATGTATGGGGGAGTGGAGGTATAGCTCAACATTTAACCTCAGCACTAGATGTTCCACGCCACGGCCGATTTATCCCCGGTCCCCACTGGAAAGAAGGTTGGGAGCCCTCAGAGCCGATAGAGAGGCTGTACCCTGTTCGCTGTGTCGGAGTCATCCAGGCTCGTCCACCTTCCTTCTGTCCATGCTTTGTAATTAAAATGGGGCTTTACAACTGCGCTAGGAATTTAGGAAGGGACATTTACGTGGACTTGAATGGGAAAGCTGCGGCCACGCAAACGTCCCCTGCCACCCCCCACCCCCCACCACGAAACCAACCGAAGTGAATAGGAAGATAATGACCGAGGTGCAGACAGGAACTTTGCAGGCTGCCTAACCCATTTCCGGAACAGGATCTAAGGGGCGCCAGCGTTTCGTTATTTCGCCGCTGGGAGCGTGTCATCTCAGTCAGCACAGTGACTAGACAATGGGATACGGCATTACATCCTTGGCAGGGGCAACACGTATCCTTGTTTTCCTCAGAGCGCAGACCGACTGTGGGCTTCACACAGCCTATGTAATGGATATTCTAAGGGGGGTAAAACGGCCGGGGCGTGAAGCTCACCGCTCATCTCCATCTCGTAACGGAGCTAAGAGAGCGTGAATCTCCACTCCCCACGCATCTTCAAGAACTATCGGTATTTAACAAAGCACAAGGAAAAATTTGCCTCTGTATGACCTCCCAGTTCACATGTCTTTGGGTGCGGATGTACTGCCACACGTAGCTGCATTACTAAGTTCCCGTAATGAACATCCAAATTCCTACTGTGGTATTCTGGTGATTACCGACGTTTCGGAGGTACTTGTTGCCTCCATTATAACTTCGACAATTAAAATGCAGGCACTATGTTCCTGCTAAACACTGATAATTACCTACCAGACTACACGGTAGCATGACTATCAAAATAATAGTGTTACGAGTCCGAAGTGACTCTCAACCGAAGTCTGGACTGGATATTGATGTACTGACCACTTACACACACAACTCGGAACTACAAGTAAATACAGCGGCACCGCTAATCTCCACAATTCTCAAATCACCACAGTACCCGCTAAGTCTTTTGTGGCTTGCCGTTGCCTGGCAACGGTTTTTAACACTGGAGATTCTACAGCTTCACGCACTCAGTTTCACTCTGAACTGCTGCTCCCTTCCAACTGACTCTTTTCCTCATAGACTCTCGTACAGAACCGACTCGGGTGCCTCAGTTGTCTTCCTTTGCACGGACCGAGTAGAAAACACCGTTTCCAACAGTACCTTTATTGTTGCATGAGTATCCGTTGCTGCGGGAACATGTTTGTCAGTTATAGATCAGAGAGAGAGATAACAGAAGGTTTAGAAGACAAACAGGATTTGATCCTGTGGACAAGAATCACGTAATTCGAGTTCAGTTAAGGGCTGTTGTGTATGCGGCGGTGAACCTTTTGATTAGCTTCCGACAATTTCTCAACGGGCTGCGGGACCATCAGCTTCTCAAGGATGCTGGTGTATTCAGTTCGAAGTAAATTGAGTGAATGATGCAACACCGCCGACAAGATAAACTTGTGCCTGCAGTCAAAGCTCAGGTGAGCAAAATCAATAGCATCTTGCATCGGAACACAATGCTATTAGCGGCAGACTGCAGCTCAGAAGGCGGGGTCCGAGAATGCGATAAGCAGCGATGCGGGAAGTTCGTTTAAGCCGTATTCAGAGATTAGTTCGTACCTCACAGGAAACACGCTGTGTCCACGGCAGGAAGACTAATCAGTCAACGTTGTTTAAGGAAAATATCGCTGCACAGCCTGAGAATAACAGGAAACACATAAATGCAGTTTGTTTCTCACACAGAGCACTGCGTTTCCAACATAAAGCCCACACGGCTATTGCTCTTCCGGGAATTCATCGCTGTTTTGAATTTGAATCTGAATTTATTTACGTTCCGAAAATCCAAGTAGAGATTGACACCACAGCATATGGAACAAGTCAAGTAGAATGTAAGTTCTGAGGTTTTCACGGCGATGACTATGAAGAAAGTCGTCTTCTGGGATCTGGCGCCGTGTATTCTTGGTTTTAACCGACGTTTCGGAGGAACTACTGCAGCTACTGCTCTCTGTATTCGCAACGCAATTCAACTGCCCTGAAGATGGAGGCGATATGTTCCTCCGAAACGTCGGTTAAAACCAAGAATACACGGCGCCAGATCCCAGAAGACGACTTTCTTCGAAGTCAAGTAGAAATTCATAATATATGTGTGTGTGTATATATATACAATAATAGTTTTGCTTGAAAAGTCAATAAGATTATAATACAGTATTAATACTACCATGCTAACTGGATACATAGGGGCCCGCCGTAGCGTAGTTGGTTGAGGCACTATACTACAAGCGGCCGGCGTCGTAAGGCTGACAACCTCAGTGCCATCTGTGAGCCGACTGTATAGAGAAACTGTGGGAGCCTCGACGTCTCACAGCCCTATGGGCCTTCACGGCCTGTTACAGGGATAGCTTTCCCAGTTTTGCTTTTTCAATTGGATACATGCAGCACAGGCTGCTAATAAGCAAAATGATACAGTAACATGCTTGGGGATACAGTTTAGCTGACTGAGGGAAGCTACTGAACACTTTGATGCCGAAGGGGTGAACTCCTTTATGATATAGCGAGATTTGTTGAATGCTGGTGGAAGTTGAGTTTCCTTTGAGAACCATGAGGAACGCGTGGGCAGTGGGCGGTAAGGTAAACGTAAGGTTGTCCCTGAGCTTAGCTCATTAAGCACTACGGCATGAAGGCGTATGGCGGAGTGGATGTACAGAGCCACATTTTATTGACCTTGGCACTAGTAGGACGTGAGTGGTCACCTCCACGTCCCGGTCACTTTACCCTTGGGGAAAGAGCCCCCGGTACCCATTGGCTGGGAGGCTGGGTGGGTCCCAGAGCTGGTCTGGACGATTTGGAGAAAAGATAAATTCTTGACCCTACCGCGGCTCGAACTCCGACCCCTAGCTCGTCAAGCCCGTAGCCAGTCGCTATACCATCTTTACTTGTGGCATCCTGTTTCATAGTGTACATAAAAATGTTTATATCATATTTCAGTCAACACAAGAATTTATAAAACACAGATGACCTATTTACATGAAGGTCGTCTCTCCGAGGCACAACACGTTTCGACCCCTAAAGTGTCATCATCAGGTGCTGAGTCATCTAAGTGTTGAACTTGTACCTAAAGGTATTAGGGGTCGAAACTTGTTGTGCCTCGTAGAGACGACCTTCACGTAAATAGGTCATCTGTGTTTTATAAATTCTTGTGTTGACTGAAATGTGATATAAACATTTTTACTGCAACAGGTGGTACCTCTAAGAGACATGACTGACCTGAACACAGCGTCACTCCTACAAGGATGGACGCAATCCAAGCCGTAGCACCCTTCCCTTCGTTGAAGTAATGGAGGAACGTCAAGTAGAAGACGCCGAACGAATACGTCACGCCGTCAGCTGAAAGAAACAAATCAGCGCTTCGTAAATACGGACAACAGCAATGCGCAAGAGAGCACTCACAGGGGCACATGAACTTCATTATTCATTAACTGTTCACCACGCAACAACAACTAAAAACATTTATTGAGCATTTGACATTAGAGAGACTTGATCAACTTAGTCTGTCGCCACCTGCTCACGCAGGTTCCTCTCTCGCGGATTTTTATACCCTGAAGACAGAGGCGATACATTCCTCCGAAACGACGATTTGCACAATATCTACACGACGCCACATCCCAGAAAACGGCATTCCTCGTGATCGAAACTGCTTATACTTTCCAATCTTTTTTTTTATTGCTAGTGGGGTGGGACTAAGTCCCTTGTACTGCGGCCACTTCTGGCCTACTGTACCAGCCCCAGATGATATGTGAGGGTGATTGTGGAGCAACTGGTGGAATGAAGATCGGCAGGGGAAACCGAAGTACTCGGACAAAATCTGCCCCAGCGCCACTTTGTCCACCACAAATCCCACTTGACCAGATCCGGGCTCGAACCCGGGCTGTCGCGGCTGGAAGCCAGCGACTAATCGCTTGAACTATGGCGCGGCCCTAAGTCAGACAGTAACAACAGACACTCTATATCAGGGACGGCCGAACTTTACGCGTACAGCTGAAGGGCCGGATTATCTGTTGCAAGTGATCCGGCGGGGCCGAAAGGGTATCAAAGAAATATTTTTAAATTACTATTAATTAGCAGGAGAATATTTGGACCGAAAAGAGATGAAGTGACAGGAGGTTGGAGAAAACTGCATAATGAGGAGCTTCATAACTTGTACTCTTCTCAAAGCATAATTAGAATGATCAAGTCAAGGAGGATGAGGTTGGCAGGTCATGTAGAACGAATGGGGGAGAAGAGAAATGCATATAGGATATTGGTGGGAAAGCCAGAAGGAAAGAGACCACTGGGAAGACCAAAGCGCAGGGTGGACAATATTAAAATTCATCTTAGAGAGATATGATGGGATGGTTTGGATTGGATTGATCTGGCTCTGGATAGGAACCAGTGGAGGGCTCTTGTGAACACGGTAATGAACCTTCGGGTTCCATAAAATGGTGGGAAATTCTTGAGTAGCTGCACAATTGGCGGTTTCTCAAGAAGGGCTCATCTCCATGAGTGAGTGATTACTAAGCGGGGGACAATATATTTACTGCTGCATAGACCATCTGTTCCTGGGAAAATTACGTTATAGCATTGGTTAGGAAATGTTTAAGATTTCTGATATAAATTAAAAATAATATTATAGGCAAATCTTCGTAATAGCTTCGAGGACCGATTTTCACGGGCTAAATCAGACCCATTGGCGCTGGTTTGCTTACCCCTGTTTCATATGAAGCCGTATTTGCACTTCTGCGTTCCTTTCGAGCATAAATCGGTAGACAGCAGGGAAAAATGTTTCGAACAAAACATGCAGAGGAACATGAAACACGCATTTCATGTTCTATACAACTTTTCTGTTAGCCTTTGCGCTCTTAGAGACAAACAAACAAACAAACGGAAGTGATCGCAACAGAACGGCTACTTTGTGCGCACGTCGCCTGTCCTGTGCGAGGCGACAACTGGGCCTTGCCGCAGGCCTGTTTATGACAGAGCCGTTGGCCTTATGTTTCCATGTTCAGAGAATGAGTAAGCGGAATTGAGCTGTTGCGCAAGACGGCCGCCAGTGACCTCCTGACTTAAAGTTAGCACAGCAAACAGCACTTTATTGTATCCTTTACACACAAAAGCAGCTGTTCCTTGCGGGATAATTACAGGCAGTAATCGCGCATAAATGTCTTATCACATAACAGTTTGTATGCGCACTCTGCACACAAAGAGAACGACATGAAAGTAAAAAAGAGAGATCATTAATACCAACCTGTACAAAGACCGCACGTGTGGAAACACACGTGCGGTACGGATTGCAATTTTCCAGTCTTGTTTGCTTCTTAGTCACAATTTTAGTGTTCATAGGAAGTCCTCTCTAGAACGTAATATTTTGTCTCGGGTTTGTCTGTGCTGTATATTTATTTACTGCAACGTTGCAGCTCGAGTTGCACGGCCAAATGTTAAGGGCCGCCACTGCTAGCTGTATCCACAATAATACAGAATCAATAACTCAACATCGCTGTATATCAAGGCAGCGATGTTTCGCCCTCTCTGTCCAGAGGGCAACGGTTTGCATTAACATGAATGTTTCTGTATCCCGTCCAAAGTTCATTTGCTGAAGGATACTAAATTTAACTTGGCAGCAGATAGATCCAAGCTCTCGTCCGCACGGCCGTACAACCGCTTGCTCAGTGCAGAAACTGGGATCCAAACACTCTGTGCTCCTTGCACGTGCGTTCAGGCCATAGGACGCTCTGTGCTCCATGCACGTGCGTTCAGGCCACAGGGCGCTCTGTGCTCCTTACACGTGCGTTCAGACCATAGGACGCTCTGTGCTCCTTACACGTGCGTTCAGGCCACAGGGCGCTCTGTGCCCCTTACACGTGCGTTCAGGCCTCAGGGCGCTCTGTGCTCCTTACACGTGCGTTCAGGCCACAAGACGCTCTGTGCTCCTTGCACGTGCGTTCAGGCCATAGGACGCTCTGTGCTCCTTACACGTGCATTCAGGCCGCAGGGCGCTCTGCGCTCCTTACACGTGCGTTCAGGCCACAAGGCGCTCTGTGCTCCTTACACGTGCGTTCAGGCCACAAGGCGCTGTGCTCCTTACACGTGCGTTCAGGCCACAAGGCGCTCTGTGCTCTTTACACCTGCGTTCAGGCCACAGGGCGCTCTGTGCTCCTTACACGTGCGTTCAGGCCACAAGGCGCTCTGTGCTCCTTACACGTGCGTTCAGGCCACAGGGCGCTGTGTTACCACTGCCTGCCCGAAATATCTTTGTGCAGCCAACCAGTAGTTAGTTTCTTGGGGTGAGGTGAGACTGAGTCCACTTGGTACGTCGGCCTCTATTTGGCCTACTGTACCAGCCCCGGATGCAGATGATGAGTGTGGAGCAGTCGGTGGGATGAGAATTAGCAGCGGAAACCGAATTACTCGGAGAAAACCTGCCCAGTGCCACTTTGTCCACCACAAATCCCACATGCTCTGACCCGGGTTCGAATCCGGACGCCGCAGTGGGGAGGCAGCGACTAACCGTTTGGCCTTGCAGCCAACCTTACGGTACAGAAACCCTTTCTGTAAGCGCGTTATTTATCTGCACTTTCGGTATCGAGACTACGTGCGGTCGGATGGTAGGATAACTGATGGATTGAGAAGGATGTGGAAGGGACGAAAACCCTCTGTCAGGATAATCCGTGTCCTGGCCGAGATTCGAATCGAATACCTCCGAAATATAGGTCTACAGCTTTACTACCTGACCTGTGCGTTTGTCGAGATGTTGGGTGCGGCAGTTTCGGCTGCAAACATAAGCTGAAAATAAAACAATGACGACAACTCAGAAACGTCCTGTGTGGGGAGGTGAGTTGTCATGATGTCCGGCCAAGGACCTCGTCAACTTGTCAACGAACGAGTGATGTGTTTTGGAGAAGCAGATTCCTCGCTGGTGATTCCCGTAGCGTGAAAACGGAGACCAGACGGTTTTGAGGTTATATTTTCAGATTTCGCTGATGGGGGACGGAGAATCCGGAAGCCGTCGACTTTTGGGTTTGAGGTTCTCAAGTTGGTGAGTATACACAGTACGGTCTTCTGGGTTCTGACGACGTGTAGTTCGGAGACACCCCGAGGATTCGGAGGAACATATCGTCTCCATCTTCATGGTCGAAGAAAAGACAAAAGAAGAAACCAGAAGATGTAGGCAATAAGCTTACCTTCGGCTCCTGACGACAGAGGAGGTATACTGCTCCGAAACTTCGGCATACATCCAAACTAGACAGCATTACAAACTAGAAGACCGTAATCTCACATTTGGCCGCTTGTTTCTGGGCCGTACTGGAGATGTAAGAACCCCAATAACAAGCCAATCTCCCGATCTCTGAAGGATCCGGCTCTGTATCTGGGGGTCACTGGTTCGAATTTCAGCCCAGAGACCAGACATTCTCAAAACCTTTTCACTCATTCCAAAAAATTCCCAGAATATACTGCGGTATGTCTGCCGAAAGCCAGAATTGTGGAGCCCGCAGAGACATCCGTTGCTACGGAACGGCTCTACAAGCAATCCCGTTGCTAGGAAATGGCTCAGTAGTCGCCACATGATCGCCGCAAGACTCATGCATGCAATAACAGAAGAAATGTTGGAGGCGGTGCTTTCTGTGTGGTCCGTGCTGATGCTATATAACGAGAACCAGCTGTCAAGGCAACATCGGACAAGGTGAATCTCGACACAGGAAATACAAGTGGCTTAAACTTGGCGGCGGTCAAGCATACGACTGTTCAAGTGGCTAGACTGCCGTTGTAGCAGGAGCTACTAATGATGGGACATGAACTGCTGTGCTGAGCCTGGGTTGGCGAAGTCTTGAATATGTTGTATATACACACATATAACAACATGTAAAATATAAATTGTACATATTGACAACAGACTGCTGACTGCGACTGTCTCGTCAGAGAGGACGCCCCACATCAACAAGCCTGCAACTGCCATACACTAATAAAGATCTGGCCTTAAGCATCGGGTGGTTGCTTCATTCCAAGACAGGTTCGCCGACTAACCGTCAGTCGCAACATAACTTTGATTCTGACTCGTTTACAGGAGAGTCTTGAGACGGCAGTTAGAAGTGTATGAGGTTGGTGTGAGATGGCCGCCAGCCTGCGAGGACGTGAGCCCGGAAGCAGAGGAACGCCCACTGTTAGAAGCCGTTACCAAGCAGCGTAGTGAAGACCGTGACTGAGAACACTAGTGTATGTGTGACGGTGATCTGCAAAGTGTCGTCACGAGTTGTTTAAGGGTCAAATAAATCCGATTACCGATCCAAACCCCGTCTATAGTCACACTCGATCACGTGACAATACCTTAAATCAGCACACTCCTTGCAGATAAT